GGTTTGAACTGCAGGAGATTGTCTTGACCATGTCTACATGCCTAAATGCACTGAGTTGCCGACATGTGATTGGCTGATTAGAAATTAAGTGTTAACGAGCAGTTGGACAGGTGTACCTAATAAAGTGGCCGGTGAGTGTATAATGCGGTAATACAGTACAATATTACATGTAAAATGTATTTTCCATAAATTATTGTGCTTACAAGGTAGTAAACTAGTCTGAAATGTTTATTAAAGCAGCTTTTAGATGTAAWATATATGTGAACAGATTTGCCTCAATATTTGGCAAGAAACAAGAATTTTGTCTGTTTTCAGTCTTAATTAATGAATAATAAACACTTTTTAATGATTTATAAAATGACTACAGATTAATTAATAACCAATGTACAAACTATTTATTAGCGTCTATAAAGGGAGCCTTATTGTAAAGTGGTACCCATTTCACAATGTTATCTTACAACCATAGAGGTGACTGATTTATATTGGTTACACAGTTTAGTGAAGTTGTTTGACTTTGCTCTCTGCTGGTGAGTGCAGGTACTGAAGCTGGAGTTAAATTGATRTTAACCGTTGAGGATAAATGTCATGATGGGCGTTTCTTGGTTCCCCTGAGAGTGGTTCGCTCCACTTCAAACAATGCAGCAGTTACTCACTTTGCATTTATTGTCCGTCTGCCAGACAAAACGAATGTGCTAGTGGCCCCGCTGTTCTCGAGTGTGACGGTTATATTCTACCAGCTTTTATATTAACCCCACAACCTTCTGTTACATGGCAGACTTGTGTAAGATCAGCCTCAAGACGAGGCCCAATCGGGGGTGGGGGCTCTGGATGCAGAAGCCCCCAGGGGGTGCCTGGGTCAGTGAAGCTCATTTCACAGTGTGGAAACGGGGTTGACTACATCGCCAGGCACAGACTGACCATATGTCACTTTTCAAATTGCTTCGGTGTGAAGGACACTGAGACACGTGTTCCCTTGGTGTCATGAAGGAAGGAAGTGCCCCAGACTTATCGTGTGACTGTGTCCATTTTAGTTAAAGATGGGGGAAGCATCTTGTGTTGCTTCAACGCATGCACTCCCTTAAAGACTGAAATAGAAAAGGTGGAGATTTACCAAACATTCTAGTTGTTTCCTGAGGGGATGATCTGAATCTTTCCTGCTCCAAAAGTGAGTTTAGTGACCTTGTCCTGCTTTTTATTTTTTATTTTTTTAAGCGTTTGCGAAGTCTTGCAGGGATGTTGCTTTTGTCTCCCTTGTGATATTACCTCATTGTGCAAACTTTCACTCCCAGCACATTTTTTTAGCATCAAGTCATTGTTTTGAAGCCAAGACTTTAAAGGGCCAATATTGTGTTTCTCAGGCATATATTTAAATACTGTAACATAATAAAGTATCTATGTCAGCTTTAGCTGTTATTAAAATGCTGTTTTATGTTTAAATAGAAATTAAACTTATCTTCTCATCACTTCCTCTTCTAAACGCCTTGAAATTGGCCTCTTTCTCTTTAAAAACCACCTTCCGCTTCTGTCTCGCCCATTTCAGTGCGTGGGGGGCGGGGCTTTGCATTCAGGAAGGGGAGGGGGAAGGCTGCTACGATGCAGTTTACTTGGCATCTGAAAATACATTTCCTCAAAGGTACTGTATTTTTAATCTGAAAAGAGCTTCACTGGGTGAGAACTAATGTTGAGAGCTCATCAGACAGTTTCAGTTTCACTTTCTGTTTCACCTGAGAGCCTGCAGGAGCCATGGGCGGGGTGTGTGGGGAGGGGGCGGGGTCTGCCATCATGAAGTTTGGCTTAAAGACACAGTTTCTGGTCCCCACCTGTCGTTTTGCTCCTCAGCATGGCTTCCTAAAAACGCTGCAGGATTTCTTAAACATGCATGAATGAGTCAGAGCAAGGCTTTGGGCATGTTTTTTTTATTATGAGAGTATAACTTAACATGATATAAAACTCAAAAAAGTTGATTTTATATGATATTGCCCCTTTAATATCCCACATGTCCTCAAATCAATCCCTCACTGAAGCTCCAGCCAATGTTTCCTTATCAGAGATAAGACTATGTCTCCTGTCTCGCAGAGAGAGCTGGATATTTACAAGTATTGATCAGACAGGCCAACAGTGGGGGGATCCTTAAATCAGCGTTAACCTTTAAAAGAAAAGGTGCAGTGAGAAACACTTTGGGGATTTAAAAGCTGTGACATCTATGGGAGCTGCCGTTCCACATCTGCTACATGCTTCACATAAATACACTAACCCCCCCATAATTCATATCAGCAGTGAAACCTGCTGGGGTTGGAAGCCTGTGGCAGAATTTCCACCTGAGAGGCTAAACATGTCACAGCACAGATAAGCACATTTAGCTGCCTTAAATTCACCTCTGGATTCCCACTCCTCRCCCGCAGAGTAAGTAGGCAGATTAGGTGGTCTGTTAAACCCACAGGAAGGCACTTATTTAGAAATACATGAAAGGGCAAAGTGAGCCAGGCTAATGACCGATGCCGTGTCACCGGCGCACTCTCGGGTCTTTTATCATTCTGGAGAGAGGGCCCCCGTCCTCTGAATAACCCTCATTATATCTGAGCTAATGTTGGGGATGAGGATGTTCAAGTGATAAAGCACCATCACAGTCCTTCATTATACAGAAAGAGAAACAGGCTCAGTGGAATTGTGCTCGACCTATAAAATAAATGCAATGGTCAGAGAATAACTCCTATTTCAGCGACTGTGCCATATCCTGCAGTCTGCACGGTGCAGCCCAGCAGGGGAGGCGCCTGTTCATCCTTCGACCATGGGATGGCAGTCGTGTTATTCTCCAGGATCAGTCGGCTGTTTGTTGCTTTCTGCATCATTACTGCTCCCMCTTTGCCTTCCTCCTCAAGGCTTCATTCATTCTAGACTGTGACAAATAGAATGGAGGGGAAAAAATGTTTATTGGTCCTTAATAAACATTTAGTTCTTACAGAATTAATGTTCGGTTTGGAAATATCTACCAACTCTATATGCATCTTGTAATTCTAACATGAAATCAGTGGTAGCAAAAACAAATTTTTTTTTGAACTGAAAACCTTTTTTTCTTATACTGACAGTAATTATTAAACTTTCACAACTATGATTAAATTCTAAAAAAAAAAAAAAAAAAAAAAATAGCATTTCTTAAATGAGTCCAAATATTAAAATTCAACTCAGCTGATAACCTGAGTTATTGAGATTTTTGAGTTTGTTTATTTTGATCATTTGTGGTKGCCATCTTGACTTGGGATGACTCCAAAATTGAATCAGTTGTTGATGTACGTCCAATGGTTAGTTTTTGAACGTTTCAATAAAATCTGTTCACTAGAATGCCCAAACTTCTCTGTCTCACAGTCCCATCTCATTGGAGAKCTGGTATTYATTCCARGGGCGRTTCTAGGGGCGGGGCCACAGGGGCATTGGCCCCAGCTGAAATCTGATTGGCCCCCTGAAGTGCCCCTGTCCTRTCASTCATCTGTCCTTTACCTGGGGKTGATGAWGGTGGATGCAGTTCCATGTTCAAACACTAGYTGYGCTAATGAGTCAAACAGTAAAGTCCAGAATGAATCAAGCTRACAGAATTCTTCTTCTCTCAAGAAAATGTGAACAATCCTGCAAAAMAGTCTTTCARCTGACAAAWRATGGCTGGATTTTCTCACATGTTGWGYGTTTGAGAATATTTTATCTAAGTACTGTAACATGTATGAAGAACTGGTGAGGAGAATTTACTGTGCAAGCCTTTTTTTGTACCACTTTACAATACGGCTCCCCTTATATATGGCTTTTAAATATCTTATATTCATCTATAAACACTTTATAAATCATTAATAAATGTCTATTATGCAATAATTAAGGGTGAGAAAGACACAACTGTCCAGTTTTTTTTTTTTTACCAAATAATGAGACAACTCTATTCATGTATATTAGACATCTAAAGGTGCTTAAACATTTTATACTGGTTTACATTGTAAGCACAATAACAATATGAAACACGTATTTTTAATAGTACTGTATTACTGCTTTATAAATATTCACAACTGTCAAAGGGAGACTAATCGTGAAGTGCAATACAGTATACTATTATACTACTTAAAGGCCAAAAGTTAGTCTTTAATGTAAAAAAATCCTCATTTTTAAAACTCAGCACTGATTACCAATATTTGAAATTATTGTTCAAACATGTAGCTACTGTCAATACTAATAATGCATCAAAAATATATGTATTTGGTATGTCAAACATTTTAACATACCAAATAATCCCACCCCATCCAAATAAACTTCACAATCAGGTTCCCTTTAATATTTGTGGATATTTATAATGCAGTAATACAGTACAATATCATATGCAAAAATATGTGTTTCTTAATCATTATTGTGCTTTACAAAGTAGTAAACTAGTCTGAAATATCTAA